TATTATACTGAAGTATTATACTGTACTATATTATGGTATTATACTAAAATAGTATACTGTACTATATTATGATATTATACTGAAGTAATATTAAATAATAGTACTATCCTAAATACCGAGTACTATATTATAGTACTGAAGTAATATACTGTACTATATTATTGTATTATACTGAAGTAATATACTATACAGTAATATACTGTACAATATTATGGTATTATACAGAAGTAACATTAAATAATAGTACTATCCTAAATACCGAGGTATGCAAATAGCTTTTCACAGGCAGTGCAACTCACGATTGAAAGGCGCGTCTCGAGTCGGTGACGTATCGCATGCCCTTTCCAGATCGACGATTCCGCGTTGGAGAGATCCTGCTCCGACACGGTTGACCTCTCGTGACTCGCCGCGACCAGACACGTAGGACCTTTCTCCTGCCGAGGATAATTGTTGTCTACCGCGTTCTCTATGCCCCTATCCCAGAGCGCTTCCTGCACGTTTTATACGTTTGAAAGACATTTTGACAGACATCGCGATCGTCTCGATACGGGACTCGGCTTTTGTTCTGTGTGAAAGAGGCTCGCCAAAGTGAAAGAAAACCCCTTTCTGTTCGTTCGCGGTACTCTGCCTCTTCCTTTGCTGGCCGACCTCTACCCATTAACGTCCACTCTCCCTTACCTTTTGTTCCACTTTGAGCGAAATGTTTGCGAAAACATGCCTCCTCCTTTCAAGTTTCTTTATCACGCTCGTAGAATGGGCTCTTTTTCTTCAGCGCGTTTCTGGATATTTTAGATATCTATAATTGTTTGGCATTAAAACGCTTGGACAGATTTTTTAACTTTCGAATATGGCCTACGGTTCACAAGATTCACTCTACTGTTCTTTTTGTCTTTTTATCATTGTCAGTTGTCTTTCAGATGTTTTTCCTCTTTCGCAACGTACGAAATATCGTAGAATTATTGATTGTACTTCCGTTTATTTATTATGATAAATTAAAATTATATCAAAGAATTATGTCTAACAATATCTTAATATCGGATCTAGACTCGACGAGAGTAGATTATTAAATCTAAATGCTGGAAACTAGATTACTTCGAAATTTCGAAATTTATTATTTAATTGAATTTTATTATCGGAGTGCCTATTTTTATGGGCAATTTATATTTCCACGGACACAGTTAAAAAAGTAGAGATTCGTTTTGTTGTCTGCCACAATATCGACGATAATAATCGAATTTTCAAGGAAGCATTCGTACAATATGGCACGCATGATAAAATCTGTAATGGAACGATGCAGTTCGTAGACCGAACAACGTGATTGATCGCTTCCTTCTCATTGAAGAACGGCAGCAGATCTTGACTAACCCGAATCTGTCAATCTTATTTCGTTTTGCTTCTTTTTAACTGGATTTTGATTTTTTTTTCTTTTTTTACGAGATTGATTGCTGCGTAATAGAAAAAAAGTTAAGAAGATTGTATATAGCTTCAAGCACTTGATGTTTTATTATTTTCTTGTGGGTTTAGGTTAGGTTTAGGTTGGGTTGAAAACTGAATTATTTTCTTGTGGGATTAGGTTAAGTTGAAAACTGAATTATTTTCTTGTGAGTTTAGGTTAGGTTGAAAACTGAAATTACTTTCTTGTGGGTTTAGGTTAGGTTTAGGTTTAGGTTAGGTTGAAAACTGAAATTATTTTCTTGTGGGTTTAGGTTAGGTTTAGGTTTAGGTTGAAAACTGAAATTATTTGAAAACGGAGCATTGGAGAGTCACTGCAACAACCCTTTTAATTATTTCATTTTCATCGTTTCATCGTTTCATCGTTCCCACTGCACACTGGGAGTTGCGAGTTGCTATTTTTCTTATTCCAGTGCTCGTATGAAGGATAAAATAGTAGACACGAGCCACGTAATGTCGCGTGACAGGATACCGCGACATTTTCATTCTAAAATTGTTATTCCGTTACGAGTAATTCCGCTCCGATTGCTCGTTGACTGTGTAAGTACTTTGTTCCGTTATTGCTTTCGAGGCATTGCAACAGTTTATCGTATATCCGTGTGATTTTAAATATAATAAATATCCTAAAGAATATCGTTTTATTTACTGATGAATTTTACACGTAATCAGCTCTTTATCTTTATGATCTTCTTTATCAATCACATTTTTCAGGATCGACATTCATTTCGTCCAATAGATATTAAATTGAAACGTACGTAAATTTTAAATATTTAATTTTGATATTCAATGTCAATTTCACGATATAAGCTATATGTAAAAAGCATGGTGAAAAAGAGACTGAACGTTCCCAAAGTATCAGGGAACAACGAACAGTGAAAGCTGGAAGCATTAGTTTACCGCTCGGAGAAGGTTAGTTGTTAAACTTTCTAAAACAGATATCAATTTCACGTGCAAGGGTAGAGCATAGCGGCGGAGGGTTAATTTTGAGGCCAACCGTGGTCGTGCATTATTTTAGAAAGCATCGCGGGTCGCCGACCTCCTCGAGCAGCGAGGAGCCGTGACTTCCGGTTATCAGTTTTACGAAACTTGCAGCGAACTGGCATTTAGTCGCCAGCCTGCTATAAATAACGGCCAAGCGCGACCTGAATCGGTGATAAGTTAATTCGTGACGGCTCGTGGATTGCTTTAACGATGGTTAATCGAAGAAATTAGCGCAGCATCGATCGTTGACGGAATTCGTTCGGGGATGGAACGGTATGACGAATGGAAAAAAGGTTTATGCACCTGGAACTGTAAAATTGAACGTTAAATTTTTAGTCTTCTTAAAAGAGCAGCGTTAATTTTATTTAAGAAAATTGTTT